AAATAATGAAAAAAAAAAAACTAAAATACATTTTGATAGGGATGCCAGGTTTATTGTTGTTCATCGATTTTTGTCGTTATAGTCGAAATCGCTTATAAAATACGTTCACGTAAATACTTACCGCTTATTAATTATTATTGCGAATTGTATATAGTGCGCGCTTGGGAAGCTAATATATTTTTCATATAGTTTCGATCATGTCTGAACAGTGAGATCGTTTTAAAAATATCTGAATGAAATCGCATTCATTGAAATCACGTTATGGGGCTGGAAACTTTGACTAAAAGAATAAACTTAGTTTTAGATTTGGTTTTCTTTTTCTTTTTTTTTTTTGATAATCAGCTACAAACATTTGAAGGTCTTCACGGTTTCGGAGGCATTTATCAAAAGAAAAAAAAAGGTGAAAACACTATAGTACGATGCGGTTCATCATTAAGTACCTTGCAGCGGTCTACAGTTGCCCATGTATCGTCTTCTCAATATGCGACGTTACATGGGAAGTGATCGAAAAAGTCTATCGCTCCGAATCACTTTCAGTGGCATTTATTTTTATGTCACACTTCGCCCGTGTTTTAAAGTTCATCAAAATATCTCCAGAATTACGATCTGATGGTTAAACACAAAAAAAAAAAAAAAAAAAAAACAAGACAGACAGATGGACAGATTAATAGCGTAGCGTCTATTAATTTAGTTTTTAATCTACATCTCGGACGAAAAACCCGATTAGAAATCAATGAATTGTCTTCTTGTCTTCCAAACAAGTATTGTAGAAAAGCTAGCCTTAGATAGTCGTAGATTTGGCCAATGTTGTACAAAATTTCTTATATTAACATAATTATCCTACACCACCTTATAATTATTAATATAATGATCATTCAAAATGAAAGGCTGTATGGTTCGAGCCGCATCATTTTCAACAGCGTTCGTTCTTGAGCCAAGGCAACTCAATGTAACAGGTTTTGTCAAAATGTCTTAAAAATTGTGGCTTGAAACCGACGTTTAAATAATAACAGAAAATGATTGTGAATTGTTCTGAACCCCTTCTGAATATTGCTTACCTCAGCACAAATATACTATACTAGCCTTATACCATAAGTGGTGTATGATGTAATTAAAAAATACTAAAAGAGCAGAGACGAAGGCGTTGTCTTTATTATAATAAGTTTTAAGAAAACTAGCAAGAAATCCTCTTTCCAACCATATCAACCATTGATAATTAATAGATGGAACGAATGATATATGCAAAATATTTGGTATATCAAGAAAGACGAAATGCCATTTATATATTTGTTACTTAAAATGGTTTTATTCTGGAAACGTGTATCGTAAAGCGTCGCTTGGCACAAATAATTGGCACAGATTAAGAACTATCGACTTTGGATATGAATTTCTATTAATTGCAGGCGGATCTTTCGGATGATTTATTTGCTTAATTTTCATGGGCAATGACTATATAAGAATCCATTAATATGAAATTTTTGATTGAGAAAGCAGAATATAGGATATATAGAAATAAAGGAAGCACAAAAATATATTTAGAAAATCGTAAAATAGAAAGACTTATCTTAATCAAGGGTTAGATGTATTCTCACTTCATCATTGCAGGCATTCATATCTTTTGTTACTTTGTTGATTATGTGTATTTATGTATGTATGTATGCATGTATGTATGTACATGTGTATGTTTGATTGTATGTTGTAAATATTTAAATATTTAAAGTGTGACAACCGAAAAAGGTTGACGATGGCGTTGTGTTATGTTGTGATATTGAAAGAGAATCGGTTGTAATTCTGCTTTCATTATCGATTTTTTAAATATTTGATTACAGCGTTTAAAAAAGGAAGAAAAAAAACAAGAAGATATGCTAACGCAACAATAGCAAACTGTGTTGAGTTGAAACTCATGAGATTGATAATATTTTGATAATATTTAATTTAAATAATAAACAAAATAAAAAAAAATAGTTAAAAAAAAAAAAAACCAAAATTCAAATATATATATATATATATATAAAAGCATTAAGTCTTTAGTTGCCTTTGTCAAATATATTTACAAAGTTATTTACACCGTTCGTATATTCGTTTATCGAATTTATTATAATAACAGGAATAAAGAGTAATAGAGAAAAAAGGATTTTTAATATAACTGAAAATTAAATATAAAAATTTATTAATAAACAGTTTATGTTATAGAGTTATTTATATGCAATAATTTCAAACTAAACACTAATACAAGCGAATAGAAAAACAAATAATAAAAAAGAAATTAAGGACGACATGAAATATTGTGTTATTTTCTTGCGTTCAGCTGTAGTAGTAGTAGGGCTAGCAGTTGGGCACAACACGACTTACCTGTATAGACGGAACAGCAGTGCTGGGATAAGATTGTTGTTGATGGTGAGGCTGTTGTTGTTGCTGCCGTTGCTGTTGCTGCTGCTGCTGCTGCTGCTGCTGCTGCTGTTGTTCGTATTGATTGTTCGTTGGAACTGTTTGATACTGAGGTTGCGGTTGAGGTGTAAATTCACGCACAATTCTTTCTTCGGACACGGGAGGCCAAGCTACGCGTTTGTAACCTTCTCGTATTTAATTGAAACCAAAAACAGGAAAAAATAAAACGTACAAAAACACTACGAATTAATTATATTATCAAAAAGCAAACAATCTAAGGTATAAGTTAAGACCAGACATATATGTATATTTCATTTAATTATGAAATTTTATTTTATCATTGATGAAATACGAGCAGACACATATCTTATTAAAGGGAGTAAGCGTAAAGGTCGGTTTATTTCATAATCCTAAAAGTAGGCAATATTTACTTGCAAAAATCATTTCCCTACAATGGCGAATATAATTTTAAAGGTAAAATAAAGAAAATATACCAATTAAGTAAGTAGAAGAAAAAGAAGAAGAAGAAGGTATACACAGTTCTTTCCGAATTTTTTACTACCTACCGTACACTGGTGAACTGTATATGATGGCAAAGTAAAACGAAAATTCGCTCACTCAATACATCAATTCCATATCGTATATATATATATATATTTCTCTCCACTTGTTTTATTACACGATTTGGCCGCACTATCCAGCTACAAAGCATCCTTACATAATACTCCATAATTCAAGCGCAAGATGCCAGAGAAAGGAAAAAGGCGACCAGGAATCCTTTTAGTTAAGTTGAGGAACTGAAGCTGATTGATTTAAGATCAATATTTTCCTCTAAGGTCAACTGTTCAAGTCTTAATGGTCATTTCAAAATATCGCGAATGCGATTAACAAATACGTTTAAATCGTTTCTGCTATTGATCATATTGATCAAAAATATATATAAAATTTATGGATTGCCCCAAATGTTTTTTTATTTAATCCAATATAACTACTGCGGTCGATACAACTAAAATTCCGTTTAAAGCTCAAATTAATTTTTAATTGGCGCAAGGAATGTTGTTGTGTCTTACTGTTGTGTACAATATATAAATTGTTAACTTTAACAATTATGCCTTAGCCGTTTTCTTTTATTCCTTTATACCCTACAACACTTACGATACAAGGGTATATTAAGTTGATGCGGATGTATACAGTACGTAGAAGGACTTGAAATACGGCCATCTTATATTATAGCGATTGACTTAGAATCATTTTTCGAATCGATTAAAGCTTGCAGGTCCGGCTGTCCATCTGTCCGTCTGATATCTATTCATGTATTTTTGCGTATAATCTACGGGTCATAATTGTTGAGATATTATAAACAAATTTAATGCGTTAACGTATTTTAGTTCAAAGACGAGCGCCATTGAACACTTTTTCAACTACATCTCTTATAAATATTTATCATATGTTTTTTAGCTGTATTAAGAGAAGCGGTGTAGGGTATTTATGTTCGGCCATTGTCAACTATAACGTTTTCAGTTGTTTTTATTTCATTAAAAATATATATATGTGTATGTATATAAAATTTATTACCGACCGTTATGCATGCATACGCAAGCCTAAATGAAGAAGTCGTTGGTAAACTTCTAATGATATTACTCACAATTATTATTACAAATTTTTGCAACTTTCATATTGAAGTAATTAAAGTTTTTGGAAAATTTCATTTCATAGATTTAAAAACTTTCTAAGCTTGAGGGAATTATTCATCATAAATTTTTTAAGCCTTCAACATGAACTTGTCAGATAAAGGAAATCGTAATAATATTTTAAATAGATATGATTAAAAAAAAAAGAGAAAAAAAAATTTTCTTCAAAAAAAAAACGTTTTCAAGCTGTGTAAATGTTTAGCAAAAATCAAAAAAAAAAAAAAAAAAAAAAAACGAAACATTACAATACAATTACAATAAATAACATAAATAAGTTGCTAACCTTCCTGCCTAAAACAATCATAAATACGTTAATTGTTCATTTGTGAACCGATGAATACGACATGTGCGATAGCATTGAGACTTTCGATTGGCAATTGCTTGCCGAATGAACGTGGAGACAATTTATTGTATGTTATTTGTTGAAGTTAATTGAAAAAGAAAAGATTCCTTGTGGCAAGCGCTGCAATATATGCGTTAAGCTTCATTTCAATTTACATATAAGGATGTTAAGCGCATTAAATAGATATTTTGATTATAATTATTATATACTAGTCTGCTCTTACACACACTATTCTTTATTTGCTTTAGTAGACATAGTAGTGCACAGTAGGTATATATGCAGTAAAAAAAAAAATAAAAAAAACAGATCATAATATAAATTTCAATATTTGTATAGCATTTAACCAAATATCATAAATCAAGTTAACACCTTTTCTGTATACACGTATGTATACATAATACGTTCAGTAATACTTAGCCACAACAATAATGAACGTATAGTGAATAGTGAAAGTAAGAATAAGGTATAATACATAGTTACACAATGGCTCTGGTCGTTTGGTTGACTGGTGCAATGTAAAACTATAGAAGAAGAAATAACCTTTTAAAATTATGACCAAAACCGTACTGTTAATAACTTTTTATGCCATAACTTGCAAATGCTCACAAACAACTAAACTACAAACAACTGCGGCAACAGTAACAACAACGGTACGGAGCGAGTCAGTAGGAAAAAAAAAAAAAAAAAAAAAACCAAACACGTATATCTATGTTGCCGAGTAAACTTTGAAGGGAAATGGAAAAAGCGCAATGAAAAGTAAGGGAAAAAAAATCAACAAAAAATAAATAAATAAATTGAGAAAAGAACGAATGTCGGATACCCATTCATTGCATGCAGTCAATTACAATTGTTAGAATAATGTTATGTCTAGCAATTGTAACTTTAGTAATTTCAGCAATGTAATCCAGCTATTATAACAGTAGATATTGAACAGCAGCATTGCAAGCTGCAGTAAAAATATGTTTTCATTATAAATTATCATTAATTATTATAATTATTATAATTTGTTGAATCACAAAAGCATTAACGTCCAAGTACGAAGGATAATCTATCGGCTAACAGTTTAGATTGCTTGTGGTAAAAAATGTCATTTTTAAGTTGACTTCATCATGGTTATGGCGAAGTGCGGCTAGCCTTTAGTAGCGCTTTACGCTTGTCGCGTCGTTGTTTAATACCTAAATCAAATCTTTGCTTTAATGAAAATCTCCCGCTGAATGATAATTCATCGACTTTATAAGGTCTTCCATGGATGAGTTTCAATATTGTCAAAGGAATGGTAAAATTAATATATCCATACTTTCTGCTGATGGGTATAAAAAAATTATATTAAGCAGACATGTTAGTTTAATATTCTACAAACAGACGTGTACATGTGTACATATATACAGAAATAGTTTACAGCACAAAAATATACCATAAAAAGGCCATAAAATTTTTATACATATATATATATATATGTATATATATGTATATATATTTATCTAGCTATACAGACACACACATGTATATATATATATACAGATATATAACTGTTGTTATTTTGTATATATGTATATGAATATGTATTTGTATATAGGTGTATTTCTCAATGTGTATGAGTATGGGTGTCTTTTGTGTACATGAATGTTTTTTTATATGAAACCCCGACATAAGTCCTAAAAGTTGAGAGCGATGGAGAGGTAAAAGGAATCAATGTTAACCGAATTTAACATCAATCAATATTAATTTCCGTTAATACCGAACGAATCAACGTTCGAACAATAATAATAACAATAACAACAGTAAAAAAAATGCATCGGTTGGGGTGTGTGTGTGGAGGGGGAAAGAAAAAATGAGTTTATATTTTCTTCTATCTGCAATAAAAATGCACGCTGTACATACATATATTTGTACTATAAAAATGAAGGCTTTTTTACGTTCAAGCATTTTTAGCGTAAATTAATTTTTTCTTTGTTTTTTTTTTTTTTTAAGCACGATTTTTATTTTTGGTTTACAGGTTAAAATTCAAAAATAAAAAAAAAAAACAAAAACAAAATAAAAATAAAAATCAAATAAGAAATGTTATACGAGTTTGAACGAATCGCGAATACCCATAGACTAGACATTAAATATTTCCAAGTTTATTAAAATTTATATAACGTAAGAATTGAAACGAAACTTTTTTGAGTGTAGCATAGCTTGTTATAGCCAACGCGTAAGGTATGCAGGTGTGTGTTTACCAAGCTTTTGGAAAAATCTTTGTTTTGTTGGTTTGTTGTAAAGCAAAGCAAAAATTTATTTGAAAAATTTCAATATCGATTGCTTATGGGCAAATAATCTTCGCGAGTAAAATTGCTTTTTAGAATCCAGACTTGAGATTTTGAAAGTTCGAAATACCAGTTTAATGGACGGACCGACAAGGACATAATCTAATCATGCGAGAATCTCATATGTGTTTTATTCCTTATTTAATTTGCTTTTGGCTAACCCTACATGGGTTAATGGGATTTCGTTAATTTAATGTTTTTTCTCGCTTTAATTGATTTAGTTTCGTGGAGAGACAGACATTGGATGCTTACCCCAATCATCAATTATTGTAAGCTTAAGGGGAAATTTTATCGCATCTATCTTAAGTTAGCTAAAGATATGTAAGATATGTGTCAAGATATACGGTATCATTGCATTTTGATAAATATCGTCAAAGAAATGATGTATTTTTTTTTATGAATCCATAAACATTGTCTTCATTTCAAAAGCAAAAGGAAATCATAGCTATTCCCCATCTGCAGATTTATTCAATTCAATTTATTACACATATTCCCCGATAGCAAATACGTGCATATATGCAGTATTTTATTAATATTTACAAGTAAATAAATTGAAATTTATGTTAGCGCTAAGAGTCCGCTAACGAGTGAATGGGAATCAATTTCATCGTATGAGCATTATCATATTATATTATATTGTGATATAAAAAAAAAAAAAAAAAAAAAAAAAAAAAAAAAAAAAAAAAAAAAAAAAAAAAAATACTTCTACTTCATTAATAGGATGATGGTACACGAAAAAAAAACGAAAAAAAGGAATAAACAAATTCTGAAAGAGAAAACCATGATAATCAAATTTTCATTCATCAAGTCATCTAAGTAATAAGCAGAGTACGAGTACAGGGAGA